TCGCTATCAACGCAAGAACAGCGGGAGCTGGAGCGCAGCGTCCACCCAGCTCCGCCCTCGGTGCGCAGGGGATCCGCGGACGGAGCTCTGGGCTGCGGGATGCAGACACATACCGACGCTTCAGGGGAGCAGCCAGGGATGGAGTTCAGAGCAGCGCTCAGTCCCCAGTGGTGTCAGTTTTTGGTGCCCCCATCCGCAACCCCCTTGCAGCTCCCCAGGTGTCGCCCCCCGCCACTTCCCTGCCCACTCTGCAATCTGCCCTGGTTGTAGCTACTCACGTGCGTCACTCCTCCTCCACATCGCTCCCGCACCTTTCGCTGTGCCTCGCTGGGTTTAATTTCAGTTTCTGAGGGCAGTCTGTCCTCAGTTTTGCTGCTCTTCCAAACACCAGATCCCACTATTTTTATCCCAGCACGTCTTTTCTGCGCTTTCTGGCGACTTTGCTGCTTGGTGCGGTTCTTCACCGAGTCCCGCCCGACACGAGAGAAGAGCAGATACCGCCCCCCGCGATGCCAAGGAAGACCAGCACCAACACCTCCGGCTCAGGAGACGCCTGCCAGGATGGGTCCCAGTGCCAGTTCGTGTCATAAGGCATTTTATGTCGGGCCACTTCTCCATCGTGGTGTCACACAGAAAACACCCTCCCGCCCCATTTGCTTTGATGTAGGGTTCACAGAGGCTTCTCCGGAACCATTTTTGAGCCCGTTTGTGTTGCTAACAGCACGTTTTGACATTTCTAGGCTCAGATGAGCTGCTTTTGAACAGACACAGGTTTTGAGGGGCACGTGGAGACCCGCCGCATCAAGGAAACCCCGCCGTGACTTTGCTCTGACAGCTGGGGTTTGGAGGGCTTCGCCGCCAGCCTCAGCAAGGAGGGGAGGAGGGAGACGAGGAGGAAGAGGAGATCCCAGCCGAGACAGCGGGTCGGCGCCGGCTTCAGGCACCCAGGGTCATGTTGCGCAGCAGCCACTGCTGGGAACGGCCGTCACCGCACTCCCTCATGGTGGGAACCATCTTGTCCTCCTCCGACGGCTCATCCAGACACTGGTTGCTGTTGACGTGCCTCAGGGTGAGCTTCTGCAACGGAGAAGGGCAAGAGCTGCAGCGAGACCATCACTGCTGAAAACCAGCAACGGCATTTTCACTTTTATTTCAGTATTCTGGACACGACGCAAGCCAGGAGATGCGTACTCGCCCCCGGCTGTCCCCCGTATGGCGCACGAGACCCCACCAGGCTGCTCCCCAGGCTGCCCCGCTGTTGGGGCAAAATACAAGAAAATCAGTAGAGCTTGTCAACATTGAGATTATGTTAAGTAGTTGCTAGGAAACTTTGTTAAAAGAATGTTATGTGACTAGACGAACAATTGAAGTAGGTGAAGTTGATTTATGTGTCCATTCTATACCAACTCATAATGTACTGTAACCTCGGAGATTTATAAACATGGAAGTAGTTATATAATGAAATAGGTAATGTGCATGTGTGAACTAAGAAAGGTAAAAAGTTCAAGACCGCCCATCTACCTGAACGACCACCGTGAGACCACCTGAAGACCACCAAGACCACCACCAGAGGAAACCACGCATGCTCAGATGGGAGGAGATCTAATTATAATACGAAGCGAAGCTAATTATCATAGCCGCTGCCCTCCTCGCGCGTGGCCAGGCAGCACGGGCAGTGGGCGTCTCTGCGGAACGTGCAGTCCGGGTCCGTGGAAATACATCTGCCGAGCATCGTAGGAACAACGGTACCGTGGAGATGAACTCTCTTCCGTTTCCAACGTATTTTTAACTCTCTGGGACACCCACCTCTTTCTGTGCCTACCACATGACACTATCGCTGAGGCATGAGAGAGTCGGAAGGGAAACAGCTTATTTTGAAGAAACACATCATTTTGTATTCAAAAAACACTGGGAGAACATGATGGTAAAGAGATCTAGGGAAGTTAAAGAAGAAGTTGTGTCCTCAGATAAAACAAGACAGGCACATTCACAGCCGAGCAGCTGGTGTTCTCTCCATCACTCCTCCGGGGTTGATCTGGGGGGTTTACATCCGAAATCACAACAATTCAGCACACACCTTAAGCGCCTTTTCTGTAAGTGTTGCATTTACCAATCTACTATTTCCTAAAAGGTCTTTCAGCTCCTGAAAGAAACAATTAATTTGCCGTATTATATGCAAATCCGCAGACGCACACGCGCCGAGTCAGCCGCTGTGCCTGTCAGAGCTGCGTAGCCCCTACGCTGAACCCGCAGGGCCAGGGGGAATGCCACGCTGCGGGACGGACGCCATCCATGCATGGCTGAGGATGAAACCTCCCCTGATCCCCCGGCCAGAGCTCAGAGCCTGGTTCTCCGCACCCTTCTCCGGGGCAGGTGTAGCCATGGGGCAGTCTGCTGCCTGCTGCAGGACAGGTCCTGCCCCGCTTGGCCACCCCATGGACTCTGCCCTCCCAGGGCATTAACAGTCATGCAACCCACACAGGCAGGTTTAAAATGCTCCAGGAAAAGCAGTCAAACAAGGTTTGAGCTGTTGCACAGCAGATCCACAGCAACTACAACCCTTCTCCGGCAAGAACCAAGGAATGGGTGATTTCAGGACTGAAATCTTCCTTTTTTGCACATCTTCCACAGGAGCAGAGACATATTTTATGTCCAACACCACGCAAAGGAACAAACAGGGGAACCAGGACGGATGGCAACATTCTGCAGCCTCCTGGAGAAGGGAGAAAGGATGAACCAACCGTGGGAGAAGAGAGCCCGACCCGCAGCCTCGGAGCGGCAGCGTGGCAGAGGTCTGCTTCAAGAGAGCGGCTACCTGGGTGGTGGGGGTGGCTTGTTCCCTCGCGCACACCCAGGAGTGCACGTGCCACTAAAATAGAACATAAATGCCACAACCGTAATGGAAGTCAGGCAAGTAAGGAGTCATTTTAGACACTCTAGCGTCTCCGATGCCGTCTCACGGCTAATGAACACCATCGTGCCCCTTCATGGGAAAAAACCAAAGGAAAAGGCTCTTGCTTGGTGTCTCGGTGAAAGTGGTGGGAATTGCCACCGCTGCCAACAGCCCATCTGATTCCCCAAAGACACAGCCGCGCTATCACCCCGTACACTTTACCCTGCAGTTCGTACCGCGTGCCATCTCACACGTTAACACTCCTGCTTTGTATTCCAAATATTCTCTCCATAGCTCGTCCCTCGAGACCAACTCTTGCGCAATCCCCCGAGAAAAGCCTGCAGATACTATAACAAATCACCGAGGGGCCATTTGATACGCAGGCAATGATGAATAGAAGGCATTTTTTTTTCCCCCTCTAATTACAAGAGCAAAGAATTAGTAGTGCTAACAGAAGTAGCTTGTTTACTAAATAGCACTGCTCAAAGCATCACTGATTCTTCCCTTATATTGTTTTAAGTGCAATTAAGCTGCTATCATTTTCTTCTATAACCAGAAATGCAAACAAGTCTAAAAATGCTGCTGCCGCCTTCATCAGCTGTTCCCTTTTTTATTGAGTGTATAATTTCATGCTAGACTACCATATCATTGGGATTTTCAACTGCCTCAGACATTTTTTTTTCCTTTCTGTGTTCTATCGTTATTTATGCTATTACAAAAAAGGTCTCGTTTGCTTGGAAAACTATTAATTACTAGGCAATATAACACTGCTAGGAGCCAGCCTAAAATGTTCATCTTACCTACGGGTGAGAACACAGGCATGGGTGCAGAGGTAGCTGTGCACACCTGCAGATGCACAGCAGCACGTTCTGTAGCTTCACGCTTACCAAATGGATGGAAATAACGACGCCGGTGAGCGAAGACTCTGCGTACGTTACGGCCCCATCACGGTCCCTCACGCCACCCACCAAAACTGCCTAGCGCCGTCGGCACGATACTTTGATTCCTTCAGCGGTTAACATTTCCAAATTATCTGTTGATGTTCTGACATTATCTGTGACTAATAGCTCTAGGATTAAATTACCTGAAACGGGGAATTTTCAAAATGAACATTTCTGAAAAATATTTTGCAATTGGCATTATTTCTGTGACTTGGAATTGGGACCAAATTTTCAGCTGTGGCAAACAGCAGTGATCATGTTGACATCGACAGATCACGGAGGTAGCTCAAGGCAGTTGAACTCACCTAAAACCCGTTCATAATAACATGCATTTGTAACAATTAATATATATCTATGATAATTGATAAGACTTTTACTAAAAACTAACACTAAACACACATACTATCATATATCTCTATAGGCATCTGAGAAAGCAAGAAAGAAATTCAATAGAGCTGAACAGGCAGAGAACAGAGAAGCATTTTTCTGGGAAAAGCTTCAATCATTACCCGTTACATTTGCTTTTTTAATACCAACCTCCAACCGTTCGTTAAAGGAAATAGTCAGTGGGGCTGTAAAAAATGTTTCTAAAGACTTCCAGCCTTGAGTAGTTCCTTAGCATCCACGTTTGCAAGGGGCTGCCATTGCAAACCTCCACAGTGGGCCCATGGGTGCCATCCTCTATCCTGCTCAGGGTCAGGCACGACTGGGTGATTATGTGAAGAAATGTGTGGGTCTGCACGACAGAAAAATGGTAAAAGTGAACAAAAGCAGGCAAGCCAGAGACAAGGGAAAGAAGCAACGGGCCGTTCGATCTGAGAGCAAGGAACTAAAGCTAGGAGCACTCTCCTGGGAATTGCTAACGGGTGCTGTGAACGGTGTCCAAACGCAGGCGAACGGCGCTAGCTTCCACACCCACCACGCGCACCTAAGCGGGCGTATTCGTGAACAAAGCTTCAGCGTCACAAAAAACGTCCACGCTGCCCTGTGAGAGGGGACCGCTCCACCTGAGACCCACGCACATCCCCCGGGGCCATTCGGACCCGCGTGCGCACAGGCTGCCGTGCTGCAATCCTCGCTCCCCACCGCACGGGCTGGGCAGGCGTGACGTCTCTCCTGCAGCAACATCCCCTGCTAACCTGCCCGAGGCTTGCTCAGGCATCGCTGCACTAAACATACCATGAAATAAACGTTCGCGTATGAGGAGGGAAGAATTTTTTTGCCAACTACAGCTTCCG